AAATGCACCTCCCAAAGCATGGGGCCATATTGGACCTTGAGAACTCTGCGGGTTCCACACAGGCCAGCTGGGCAAACGCATTCTGCGAGCCATTTCATCACGGCGTTTTTTCAAGATCTTGTTGGCCAGCTGGGGGTCATGACCTCAGTCCCATCAGACCCTAAACTAGCAAGGCAGACCGGGGCCAACAGAACACAAAGCAATATGGAAACCATTAAAAAAACACAAAGTAGCTTGGAACTGGCTTCGAACGACACATTTGCACATTGCCTCGTGAGATCCTAGTTCCAAATATAAGTGTATATATATGACTAGGTCGCGGCGCCTAGTATTGCTTTGCTTCGTGTGTAGGTTTCCCAAAAGTATTCCGCACCTGTCCCAACATGTTAGCAACTGCCCTGTCAAAAATATTCTACTTCACCGCTGAGACACTAGCTTTGCAAGCGCTGAGCACGTTTTCAGGTTTTTTTCCTGTGAGAGCCCTTCCGGTGCACCCTGCACTTCAAAAGTGGGTTGACACTGGAGTCCCCTTCAGACGTCCGGTGAAGATTGTGAAACAAGAAGTTCCTGAGTTCCAGCCACTCCGTATCTATCGGTTGTGTACGTGCAACTCCCCAACTTTCTTCGGAAGATCTGGCACACCCGTGATCAGTCGTGTGAGCTCTTGATATGGTGTGATACTTGATGGCAATCAGTGCCCAAAGACTTAGCGCCAACGAAGTTTTACCAAATAGGTTCGAGAAGCAGACAGCTCCAGATGGTCACTGCGAACTGAGACGGAATCCATGGCGGCTCTTCCTCCTGCTTTGTGGGGGTGTGTGGGACCGATTCCAAGCCATCTGATGGAACAACTTACAGATCCAAACCCTACAAGTCCACACTCCACTTAAAAACGCTGCTCTACAAAAAACAAAAACAACAAACATTACAACACCATGAAAACAATCAAATTATTTGTATAGAACTACGATGACAATCCCCCACCCCACGCCACGGACTTATGAGCAGGCGGTTGTCTGGTCTGCTGATCTGCTAATCCGCTGGTCCGCTGATCCGCTGGTCCGCTGATCCGCTAATCCGCTGACCCCGTGCTCTGTTCTCGGCAGTTTAGTCTTAGCAGACAGGTTGCTTGAGACACCATGGCCTGCTTTGCGGGAGCCTCCGGGGAGTTGGAATTGTTTCCCTGTTCATTGCGCTGGCCATGTGGAACCCCACATAGGCATCTCAAACAACGGTTGTGTTTTTTGTGGGGGCAGCCTTGTCTTCTTCATCTTTCTGTTGCTGGCGGTTTTGCCGGAGGAGGTGACCATCATCAATGATGGCCTGGAAGGGACCGTCCATCTTCGAGAAAGCTGCGTCAAAGTGCATGTTGCGAAGCACTAATGCCCGCGACTGAGATCAATTCACAGACCGCACTGGCCCAGCTTTGCAAGAAAAGAAAAGCAGCCGTTTGTGCACTACGACGGAGAGGCAGATGATGGCCATTTGTGTGCAGACTTGTGCCTTGTTTTTTCTGGGCTCAGGTGTATACTCAGGGAGCTTCTCTCACGTCCCAGCTCCTCAGAGTGCTTCGCTTGCGGGCGCAGCTCCCTCCAACGGCTGCGGGGCGGCAGGCCACAGCCCTCCTGGACGAGTTTGTGTTGGAAACTTTTTTATACCGGAGATGGTCGGAAACATGCAAGCAAACAACAAACAGAAAACGTTGATGACTAAAGCAGTAGACAAGGCAGAGGCATCAAAGACAATAGAGGAGCAAGGTGGTGGGCTTGACAACTGACCTTGTTTGTTGCGCTTTGCGGGGGGTGCGTTGGTGGAGCAGTCTTGGGGCTTCAACCGCGCGGCGAGGCCGACTGAGGAGGGTGCGGATCATTTTAAGTATTCATTAACGTTGTCGTTTCTGCCGCTGCAGGACGCTGCGTGGGCGCAGCGCCGCGTGCCCATTGAGCAGATCACACTACCAGGCTGGTGGCCGCTGATGACGGGGAGCCAGAGACCACGCTGATCAAGCCAAGATGGAAGCTAGAATCACACAAGCTGCTCAGTGATCCGGGGGGTGCAACGACTTACGCCTGTTGTAGGGAACGCGACCTCTCCCGTCTTTACAGCAATATGTTTCAGTGTGGTTGAAATTGCTATCACGGTTTCAGCTATAGATGAACAGTTTGGATCATGGGGAATGCCAACTCCCGAAAAATCAGGCCATAAGCTCTCATGAGTTCATTGCGGTTACTTCACCCTGCCATCGGGGCTTTCAAACACAAAGCGTCCCCATCCAGCTGCAAAATGTCTGGACACTGCGATGCGCAGCGGCTGCCAAGGGCCCTCCATTTCTGTTTGGGTAAGGCCTTGCACTCTTGCTCGCATCTTGTCACACGCTTCCTTACTTCCGATCTGAGGCTCGCCTGTCAAAAGAGTTTGCTTCAACACTGTCCTGTCAGTCAAACGGCGACTCCGCAACCCATCTGGCCGTGGCTGTCCCCACTCGACCCCACATCCCAGCCCCCGGAGCAACCTTCGCTCGTGGAGTTTTAGTGCTGGTTCCTCTGCATGGTGAGGCCTTGCTTTCTTGTCTGGGTCAGCATCATCCTCTTGAGGTGGAGCCGGGTCCTGGTGAATGGAGAGCATAGGGAAAAGCAAAGGTATCCATATCAAGCAGCCGTTCTTGTGGCGTCTGGGCACGCAACAATCTCCAAGGGCTATTTGCTTCCGCTACTGGCGCTGCGCCAGGCCGCGAACTGATAAAAATGATTTGATGCACTTAGACAACTCGCGACCTGCCCGATCCTGCTTGGATGTGGGAACTTTAATGCCAGGGAACAAGTTGAGGAAAAAGTTGGAGCAAAGCATCCGCTTCAAAAGCTGCCACGGAATGGGCGCCAACGAGAATCTGGAACACTTAAGAGCAAAGAAGCCAGGAACCCGCCTGGCCCTTGGTAGGAGAGATGTCAAGGCCCCGTTTTGGGAGTGTAATGACTCACTCTCTGAACCGCAGTGGCACGAGAGCATGCATGAGGAACCTTGAAGTTTCTGTTTGCCACCCGCCACTCAGCCTCGGAGACGCTTCTGAAACGCTTGAGTGGTAGATTGAGCCCGGCCGGCCTCTCTTGCAACCCCACTCAGTTCGGTAATTTGAGTGAGTGGAACCCACCTGTAGTGCGACAATCTAGTCTTCCGTCGCACAAGCAACAAAAATCATCCGGGCCTTCAAGCAAACAGAAATCAAAAGGAATCTCTTCACGAGGTTGGACAGGGCGGCCTGTCGAGATGAGAAAGCACTCTGTTGTGGAGAGGCCGCATGGCTTCCAACTTCGCCCCGCTCCATTGGGATGCACCGCGCGTGATGCTGAGGCTGATGGTCTTGGTCGGACTCACCGTAGCTCCCTGCTGTCATCGTGGCTCAAGCGCTGGGCCCGAACTGAAGAAGCTTGTTGGAGGGGCAGCGCATGGGGCCACTTCTTCTGGGGTGGAGCTGGCAATGGTCACGGAGAGAGCTTTTGCCCGCATGCACTTGCAAGCTCAATGAGCATGTGAGAACACGTAAACAGTGACAGGTTTCCAGCATCATCGGCTCAACACATTTGATGAAGGCGTCTGCTCGCGTATGCCACAATCAATATCCCTGCCTCTGCCCCTGGGCAACACATGCCACACATCTGGCAGCAGCACTCTGCAGCAGCACCAGCACCCAAGCCCCACAGTGCACATGGCCAAGCAGCACCCTGGAGCGGCACCCACCAGCATTCAGGCTCCAAAGCACACGTGGCCATACACATCTGGCGCCCAGCCTCCAAGCAAGCATGGCCATACATATCTCTCCAAAGAGCACGGCCATGGACATCTCGCTGCAGCACCCTGCAGCGGCACCAGCACCCAGGCTCCAAAGCACACACAAAAGCACCAGAAACAGCGAAGCAGATCAGCAATAAGCAGGAAGAACCTTAGCAGAACAAAGGAAAGCAGAAGAAGTGAAAAAGGCAAGGGAACAATGCAGAAAAGCCACGAGGCTGAAAACCAAAATAGAAAAAATACACACAGAACAGCAAAAAGTAAAGAAGGAAAGGACACACGAGCCAAATGCAGGACAGTGGGAACCCCTTGCATATGGAAAGAGAATGCTACTAGTAACAAGGGCATCGCTACTAGGAACAAGTGCATCGCTACTAGGAACAAGTGCCTTACTACTAGTAACAAGAAGCTATTAGGAACAAGTGCATCGCTTCTAGTAACAAGTGCCTTACTACTAGTAACAAGAAGCTACTAGTAGCAAGGTGCATCGCTACTAGGAACAAGAAGCTACTAGGGGCTCCTGGCCTTACTACTAGTAACATGAAGCTACCAAATCCCATCCTATCGAGCCCAGACGCCCCTGGAACGGAGCCAACGGTAGCCTCGTGCGTCAACACAAAGACTCTTGTCCAATCTTGGGTCCACACCCAAATGCCCGAGGTCGCCATCCTTGTATGTCACAACAAACCTGGTATGTTAAACCGATAAAATGATACATGCTGAGTTTGCCGAGGTTCAATACTAACTTCGTTCTCAACCTCAGGGATTCAAGGCATTGCCACATCCAAAATCAAAAGCAATCCAGAATGGAAGCAGCAAACCAAAGTAACAAAGGCGATCTCAGCTTCAAGCACCAATACGGCACGACTTTGCCAAGTGTGTCTCAATCTCCGTCTCAGCATGCTGCAGTGAGAAATGAACTGGCTAGCCGCTAGCCACAGCAAAAAAGTAAGCTGCAATTAAGATCTTAGCCATTGCGCTGTGCTGGATCCCAAGTCCATACCCTACCGGCCCTACCTTATTGAAGGAACGGCTTCAAGAGATCTGCGGTCAAGCGCCACAATCAGCAAAGCAGTCCATCAAAGCTTCTGAACTCACCAAAGCACTGCCACATGTCCTCCTTGTATTGAGCTCTCCCAAAGTGAAACTTCCAGGTCTTGTGATGTGGCTAGTGTGAAACAGCACAGGCAGTGACAATGAAAAGTGTCACAGGCTCAGTCTTCCTGCACCTGCTCAGAAATCAAATCAAATTGGTTCTGAAACAAACGATTTCCCGGATGGCAGCTGTGAATGGGTCGCTAGCCTAGCGCGACCCTTTGCACAAATCGCAGCACATAGTTTGCGTTTGCTGAAGAAATGAAAATGGCTTGGCAATTGGCCCATACGGGCAGCCTGAAGATAGGAGTGAGTCTCAGAACCATCCTCAGTGTCGCTGCTGTCTTCGCTCTCTCCCGTATGCGGCACTGCATTCGCATCCAACACCTTCAGGCAGAGTTGCTGCATTATGCAGTACACAAATGCAAGACTGTCTTGCAACAAGCGACCAAATTCTAAAAAGTAATGTGCCTTATACAGCACGTGAACGCAACTGGCAAAAGCATGCATGCGTGTGTGCATCTTAGTTTGCCTTCATTTGTGCGAAGTCCTTCATGCTGAGTCGTCGCCTCATTTTGCTTTATCAAACTGCCGTATAGCGGTCGGTATGGTGGAAAACAGTAGCCCTTGAGTGCCCTGCACAGGGCTCGTGCGTCTCACGCGTAAAGGGTCCTCTCAACAGTCCAATCAGTTTAGACAAAGTACCATTCACACTTCTGTATATAGATATAGTCCGTTTTTAACAGCACTTTCAAACTTCCCTGGTCTCCTCTGAAAAAATGCTTCCACTGCTGATGAGAGGAGGGGGCCTAAAACATACTGATGGACCCAGCACACAACTACACTATGTTATACTTCTTTACTCAGCAGTAGTGAACTGGCGTACTGTGTCATACTGTATGCATTTCAGAATGTCCAAAAGGTGCCAAGACACGTCCAAAAGGTTGGCGATTGTGTTGCCACCGGTGGCCCATTAGGCGATGTGGAGGAGCTTTCAAGGTCCCCCCTTTCCTGAAGGCTCACCATGTCACTCATGCCAAAGCTCAGTGGACCGTGATAGTGATAGGCTGAACGAGTGAGTTGCTGCAAGGGAAACGCACAACTTGCTTGATTTTTTTCTAGAGTGTTGCATCACACTTCTCTGTACTCAGAACTCAAGCTGCTGAAGGTTTACTGAGCGGTCAGATCAAATCAGACTTCCTCGCCTCAACCAACATGCGTTGTCTTGGAGCATCACTGAGAACGTACCTCGCATTTCAAGTTGACGGCTTAAGTTCGTTGAAACTCGAGTAAGCTTTGGTATTTTGACAAAGAACCTGACAAATCCTACCTACCTGTTGAGAAGTACCATGCAGCATGAGGCATCTTTGCAGTAAGTGGTTTGTTCACTGTGGCGCCGCCTCGCAACTTTGAAGGCAGCATCTGGCTTTGCAATCCGTCGGGCCTCGGTTTGTCCCCCAAGCGCTGAAGTCATACAGAGAAAGAATTGCAAAGCGTGATTGCTTTAGGACGTCGGCATTCTGCTTGTACCAAGCAAGGGAGAACTTAGACTCGGGTGGTGAAGAAAGAATGCGGTCCAACCTGACAGCTGTCGCTGCAAACTGGCTTTTCACATTTTACAACGCAAAGCCTGTAAGGAGCATCTCGATAGTCCCAAATCCAAATACCTGGGGAACCGGTCCAGGTGAGGAGCAAACCTAAGACCCCTCTGTGGCTGAGCTCTTTCAGAAGCTTATGCATCCATTTATTGAGGTCGGGCTGGAGGGTATTGGCGAAACTGAATCAAGCTCTTGGACACGAAGCGACAGGGCGTTTCAAGTAAAACACCAACTTCCCCATTCTCAGAAAGGCCATCTATTTTGTGCTACGGCTGAATCTGTTGCTTTGCTAATGCTAGTGTTCATGTGTTCATAATATGTTGCAAGTCTGTCTGAGAGGAAAGCTGAGAAAGCTGAGATAAGGAGACCCCACGTCTACGTCCACTACCCAGCCGGCTGCTGTGATAGGAATCAATAACTGTTTCACAGGGTTATAGTGTGCGGATTGCACCTATATGATTGGCTTTGCGGCCTTTGGCCAATTTGTGGAGAGTGATGACTTCCACAGTCGTTCCTGAGCGAATCCACCTGAAGAATCAGCAAAACCAAACCAATGGAGGCCATGGACTCCATCCGAGAAGTCGTCTCATCTTGTCACTTCATGGCTTTGATGACCGTTTTGAATCTTGACTTAATTGAAAAACACTGCCACTTGTTGTACTTGTTGTTGCTGTTGTTGTTGGGGGTATTAGCGACAGGAAGTACCTAGTTCAGTAGCGACAGGACGCGAAGGTACCTACATGCAAAGTCACAGAGTCAGTGTAGCGCTTGTTGAACCTATGGGAGAAGCTTCCTTGAAGAACTCTCGCTGCGAGTGTGTTTAGGAGCCTCTAGTAGCGTCCTTGCTGCTAGTAGCGATGCCAGGAGCCCCTAGTGGAAACTTAAAGCAATGTGTTGCTTAAAGCAAAACCGTGTTGTCTGTCAGCTTCAAGTCAACCAGATCACAGGCAATGACTCAAGTTGGGGCAAGGTTCCTGCTCCTTCTTCCAGCAGCATGGATGCATTCCTTTCTTCTTGTCCCGGGTATGGGTCCACAACAACCTGGCACATTGCTGTCTTTGACCTGCAGATCATCGTTGTTTGTTCTTAAAATTGGTGTTTTTAAGGGGGCGGGCAGTATGGGGTAAGGAAGCTAGTAGTACCAAGGAAGCCACCACGCTGGGATGCAGAAGAGCTCAGGCTCGATTGATTTGGTTCGTTGATTGTTTGGGAAACTTTTATACGGTTGGAGAACCCAAGCTGTACTGCGTCCTTGCTACTTAGCTACATAATTAGCCACTCACCTAGCCGCCTAGCAGCCTACCCCCTCTCCCCTGAAAAAGATCATCTTTGAGTCTTGCAAATACAAGTCAGGATCTCCATCATCAGCCCACAAGCCAATACTTCAGAGGTGATGAGTCCGCCTGGCCTGCAGTTCAGCGAAGCTGTCCAGGTCATGTTCCAATGAACAAGCTCTTCAGTGAAGCCCTTCACCGCACAAGAGGACAGCTATGGATCAAACTTTGAGATGACAACGTCAGCGATGGCAAGCAACTCATGGATACACCTTGAAACTTGTCAAGTTCCAACATGCTTAGCTCAGGACCATCTAAGTGGACTGCGACGTAAATCCAAGAAGAGCCACCCGATGCCTACAGCCCAAGCAAATCTCTGACAAGTTCCTCTTCAAAAACTCTCAGATTGCAGCCTCTGTGGGACTTCAACCTGCTCCAACCTGACAAGTTTTGTTTATATAAATCGGAGAAATAGTATGTCCAAACAATAATAAACTCCCATAATCGGCCTCTTCAGCCCTCTGCTCTAGGGATCCGGCTGCTTCCTAGCATCAGCCTGACGACCACATACAAGGACCAAGATAATCGGCGTCTCCTCGGAGTCAAGCTCACTGTGAAAATGATCGTTCGTGAGATCAACTTTAAGTGCTCAGCAGTGACATCTGTTTCGATCTAAAGTGACATCATTGTTCATGTTTTGAACTGCTTTGCTACAAATACAAAATAGTACAAAGACTGTCCATCGTGATCAAGTTCTTGAAGATGTGCGTGACGCTCCTGACGCCAACATGGAAATATTTAATGCTCCATGGTCGTTGCGAAGTGGAACAAGTGCACGTTCCAAATATGCAATTTTCGAGTGCACACAATGTTCGAAATGTAGTTCCAGGCAGCCATCAAACTGCTAGTAGCCAGTGTGGTGAAACCAGGCAGTTCTCTTTAATATAATTCTATATATATATATCCCCCAAAAAAGACCCACCCTTTCATCAAATTTACTGGTATTTACTCCTTTTGTTACATGTTTGAACTAAAGAATTTTAGAGATCTAGATGCATTGGGGTCCAGAGAGGTGATGGTGGTGATGCAGTGAAGGTGTGGTGTGAGTGGGTGAGTGAGTGTGGGTGAGAGTGAGAGTGAGTGGGAGAGTGAGTGAGAGTGAGAGTGAGAGTTGAGAGTGAGAGGTGAGAGGTGAGAGGTGAGAGGTGAGAGGTGAGAGGTGAG